TGCAAAACTTTTAATTTATACTTTTCTTATGCCATTCTTTACCTTCACAGATTTGTACAACGGCATGACATCTGGCTAAATGCAACTTGTTTAAAAATTAACTGCTACCTGTCTTTTAAAAAATACTATAAGAACAGAAAATGACATCTTCTCCACACTCAATTATTTAGCTTTGGCAAAAAGAAGCTCAAAAATGTGGTACAAGTGAAATACTGTTATGACTATTCATTAAAAAATTCATATTTCCGCATCTTTAAAGTGGCCAGTCAAAGATGGCTCAGTGATAACTGTCAGTCTGTCAGGATGAATACAACCACTCACACGGTGAGGCATGTTTAAGAGTAATAGGTCAGTCTCCTTTGCTGGGTCCTCTTCTTCTTTAAAATGCCTTAAATCTCAGTCCCTTGGCCTTTTCTGTTTTTGTGAATATCCACTCTCACAGTACCCTCAGCTAGACTTACAGCTTTAAATTTCATCTACATGTTTTTAACTCCCAATTTTACTTTGCAAAGCCAAATAGTTTTCCCAAACTCCAAACTTCTTGCATCCAATTTTCTAGTTGACTGCTCTACTTTTGACATTCGATAAACAACTCAAGCTTAATGTGTCTAAAACAGAACTCCTTGTTGTCTGCCCCCCAACCCCTGCCATACACCACCACCCCACTTCCTACTTAAGTTTGCTTCTGCAGATCGGTGGATGCATCTCCATTCTATATGCCCGATCAGTCAGGATCAATAAGGCCTCCTTGATTTCCCTCTTTCTCTTATGTCCCACATGTAATCCATGAGCAAATCCTTCTGGACAGCCTTGACCAGCTCTCACTGCTCACTTTTTCCTGGACGCAAGTTTGGGAGACGGAAGGTTGTTTTAAATCTTAACTAGTTACATATTGTTTTAGTCAGCCAGAGTTCATAATTTCTTTGGGAATATAATTTCCTCAAAAATTTAGGAGACTCTTGATATATTTTTCTGCTGAAATTCCTCACTGATTTTTGCATGTTCTCCAATTTTTACATTTGATTTTTCAGTATGTAAATCATACTATGTCAAGATTCTGTCTAATATTTGCAACATCTGGGTCATCTCTGAGTCTTTTCTGCTGATTGTTTTATTTCCTTTTAAGAGGTTGGGTTTTTTTTTTTTTTTTTGCTTTTTTTTGTCTTGTAATTTTGTACTGACTGTAGAGACGAAGGTAAATAGCATTTACTTGTGGATATTGGCACACCTTTTCTTCTGCCAGACTGTTAGCGTGGGGTTGAGTCAATGTAGTCAGGGGGTTGGATGGGTTTGGATATTGTCTTTAGTGAATCACAGGCTTCAGATTCTTTTAGCAGTTGGACTACTATTCCCCTGAGCTCGGGATGGGAGATGGGGTGCTGCAGGGTTTCTCTCATTGTTTCTGCTTCTCCCTCACCTTTCAGTCTCTGTCCACATTCTTGCCCCTCTCTCAATGGTAGAATGCTGTTGCAAGGGGAATTCTCTGTTATTTTGTGCAAGCCTCATTTTTGGGCAGGCCCTGTATAGCTGGGCCCTGTAGCTGGAGCTTTCTTTCTCCCTTTTAAAAAAATTTTGGATGATTTTTTAAATCTTGCATTTCATATATTACCCAGTTTCCCATTCTCATAGGATCAGCAATTACAACAGCCACCTCCTCTCCAAAGTCTGAAAACAGCAAGACAGCCACAGCCGCAGCCAAAGGCAAAGCACGGATGTGCTCATGACACAAACACTGCACAATTTTTCCTTCATTTTTCTTAAACTAACCGGCGAGGAGGTGGCAAGGGGTGCAGTGAGCAGTGTGTTCCGGGGGAAGTGGAGCAGGGTGGTGGTGGGGGGTACCAGGGCCCTTAAGAAGAGCAGCCTTCACTTCAGGCTGGGGTCACCCCAAGTTTGGCTGATGCTGGAGGCGGGAAGGGGGTGTGGGGAGGGAGGCAGTGGGAACTGGAGTCAGCTGGAGCTTTCTTATTTTGTCTCCACATCCTGTCAATGGCAAGCAAACTCTGTCTTGTATTGGGGATCGCTTTTGTGCAGAAGTGTCTCCCCTGGTGGCAGCAGAGCCCGGGCAGGAGTCAAGATCCATGACGGCGTCTTGCCTCTCCGCCAGAAGCAGGTGGAATTTGCTTCTACTTCTTCCTTAGATGTGAATGGTCTTCGCCTGCGCTTTCTGTAGGCAAGAGTGTTGGCTGCCCCTCTCCAGGGCAGTTTGAGTTTTGCTTACCAGGAGAAAAGAAAAGGGGGGAGCAAGTAAAGCCTTGTGCCCATTACTTAACAGCCATCCATTTCTTCCTCATACTCACTTTGATGAGGTGACTTTCTCAAATTTCCTGCCTGGTCCCCAATCTTTTTGTGAGTATCCTGTGGAAGCCTGTGAGAAAAAGGTAAATAATTCTCCCCTTGTTTCCAGATGTTCAGTTATCCCAAACTGATGTACCAGCCCACATGTGTCTTTAGTATTTTCCCCCTAATTTTAGCTGTTTTTTCCCAACCCATTTGTAAGATGGCCCCCAGTTTTCCCCCTACTCTGCCATAGGTCAAAAGGTGCATGTGTTCCATCTCTCCTTGAAGGATTTTGTCTCATAAGAATTCAGATTACTCACTTGCCTTGTGATCTCAGCTCTCTGAAATGCTCAAGGGAAGTTATCGCTTTTGTAGATTAACTACTCCCCCCACCCCCACTTTTAGGTTTAATACGGTAGTCTTTGCACCTTTGTGTATCTTAAGTGGAAGCTGAGTATTGTGTTCTGCAGTTTTAAGTTACAGAAATTAATTCTGCTTAATTAAAGCAGAAGAGACATCTTATTATACTGATATTAAGTAATTAATGAAACCCACAGGTAAGGTAAAGAGCCAAGCTCAAATTAGACAAGAACCAGGGCAATTCCAAGGATCCAGCAATAAGGACTACTTTACTCTCTTGGTAGGGTACCTTTACAGGAAGGAACAAATTCCAATTGTCTTAGGTTCTGAAGATTTGGTCTTGGGAGAATCTCTGATTTGCCATTTTGGTCCTCGTGCTTTTCTCTTAGTTTTAGGAAGACACCATGGTTATACAAATGGAAGACAGGAATGTACTAGAATAGGTGTTATAACACTGGAGTAGGGTGAATGGACTCTGGACAGGCAAGAAAAACAATTTCCTACTATGCCTATAGGTGCTGCTGATTTACTGATTTCAATCTTTCATAATCAAGATTTTATTCATTTGTTCAATAAGTATTTACTAGATATTTGTTATATGCAAGGCAATGTTCTTGTTGGAATTATGGGCAAGTGAGCACAAATAAGGAATTTTTAAATTAATTAAATTATTAATTTTGTGATATATTTGATTCTGGCTTTGCTTCCCTCCATGTTCTCAATTTTTTTCTTGAATGTTTAGATAATAATGTGTATGTAAAATACTAATCTGTCTTGTTTTGACAGTGAGTTATATGGGAAGAGTAAACAGTAATACTAAGGAAATTATTTTGACTCACTGAGAATGTGGAATCATGTGGATTAATTACGGGATACTTTAGGGAAAAGAGCCCAGCCTTTGGAAGACAAATGTTCTGTCTAATATTTTTGATTTTAAAATCTTTATATAATTAGATGTATTTTAGTAATTATGCTCTATATTCTGAAAATATTGTGGATCTAGTAGTCTTGGCAGTGACTTAAGGCAAAAGGGCAAGGTCAGAGGCAGTGCAGAAGTACATTTGACAGAATTATTTATAGTCAGCTTTTCATTCCTTGTGCTTCTAAGGAAATTACTCTTCTTGGAATCTGAGAACGGGCCAAATGGTTTGCCAGTTTAATTTTGTATTGTTTGCTTGGCAGATGGAATGGCTTTTTTCTGAAGAACTGGCCTGATAAGATATTCTGTGTCTGGGATACTTGGGTCCACAAGTGGGGTGGAGTATAGGAGCCTCTGTTCCTCAGCGAGGTAGCAGAGCGGAGCAGCACAGCTGGGAGCTGAGGAATCAGAAAGAGCTAGCTTTACAGCGTGGTTGACCTCAGGAATCCATGACTGCTCTCACACATGGGGGGACTATGGAGATGAGTGAAGAAGGTGGCTTTAGGAGGAGAGGGGAGAGCCTGAGTCCCTGCAGGCCGATCCTTCTGGACCTCCTCCCCTCTCCCATCCCAGCCCAGTCATCTAGTAGACCAGGACTTTCCAGCCTTCAACATACAGACTCAGGACATTGTTAAAATGCAGATTCTGCTAATAACATGGACGAACCTTGAAAACAAGGTGCTGAGTGTCACAAAAGGATAAATACTGTATGAGTCCTCTCTCTGAGGTAACTGGAGTAGTCAAATTCATCAAGACAGAAGTAGAATGCCAATTTTCTGGGGCTGAGAAGGCAGGCATGGGGAGTCATTGTTTAATGGGGGCAGAGTGAGTTCTGCAAGACAAAGAGTGTTCTGGAGGTGATGGTGGTGACAGTTGCACAACAATGTAAAAGTACTTGATGTCATTGAACTGTACTCTTAAAAAAAAAAAAAAGAAGGAGCTAGCTTTAGTCAAACCTGTATTTAAGTCCCACTTTGGCAACTTCTAGTTTTGTATTACTGTGCAAGTTATTTCATACCTTTAACTTTTCAGTTTCTTTATCTATAAGATAATACGGAGTAATATGGTCTCTTTATGAATTTAAATGAAGATTAAATGAAGCACTTAGTACAGTGTATCTGACTTACTGAAAGTTCAGTTAAAATATATTACCATTAGCTGTCTTACCATAATAATCTACCAGACTCGTAGCGTCTCTGAATTACTTAGGTTGAATTATTTATAATTTTGTTCTGGAAATAAACTTGATAGACTGAAATCCTGTTATTAACAGATTGATTTACTAGAGTTATCAACCAGGAATGTTATAGTCTTACTCTTTTTTTTTAACATTTTTTATTGATTGATAACCATTTTACAATGTTGTGTCAAATTCCAGGGTAGAGCACAATTTTTCAGTTATACATGAACATATATATATTCACTGTCACATTTTTTCCTCTGTGAGCTACCATAAGATCTTGTGTATATTTCCCTGTGCTATAAAGTATAATCTTGTTTATCTATTCTACAATTTTGAAATCCCATCCCTTCCCACCCTCCGATTATAGTCTTGCTCTTAAATAATCAGATGTGCAAATTACAATTATAAGAAGAAAGGCATCTGTCACTGGGAGCAGCAAACAGAAAGCCTTAAGCCACATCCTTGACAGAGTGAAGAAGTAGGTCTGCACTGGTTAGGAAGGACCATGTTCCTTCTTCAAAACATTTCACTGGTGTTGGGAAATCTTGCCCAAGCCTGAAGATGACTCTCTTTGCTTGAAGACCTGACAAATTTGTAATCTCCCAAATCCAAATGTAAAATCATCGAGCCATAATCAGTAGGACCCATAGTTGAGGGTTTTAATTTTTTATCCACTTTGTTGTGATTTACTTTGAATCATTCCTTCCTTGAGTGAAAGAGGGATGGCAGTATGGGTTATAAGCTACATGAACTAGACTTTAGTCCTTTGATCCATCTTTGATTTCTTATGTTATTTTGGCAAATGGTCACATGACTCAGTTTCTTTCTCCATCAAGCTTTGATTATAAAACTGTGTTTCCTCAAACTTCAGCAGCTGTGGGTAAAAATTGAGATACATTAACTACAATTAGTATTCCTGTTTTCTTTCCCCATCTTTTCTAGGATTTCGGTCTTCTTGTAAGGTACCTTGAGTTTTACGCAGTGCATTCCTGTTATTTCAGAGAGAAAGACAGGGCTGGTGAAGAGTTGCCCAAGAACTTAGGATGCCCGGTTGTCTTAGAGCATCTGCCATTTTCCTTCCGCTCTGTTTGAGGTTCCAAAAAGCCTGTGTCTGTCGCTGTCTGTGGTGCAGCTTTTCCCCAGTTTGCTGGTATTGCTGATGCCATTACTGCCCTCAAAATGGCCAAAACTGAAATTAGAGAAACAGAAAAGCAGTAAGAGGCTCAAAATTCAACAAAACGGCTCCCACCCATTTTTGTCATGGAGATCCCAATTATTACTGTTTTGTGCTTTCAATGTCTTACTGAGTCTTCAGGAAAACAGTTTTTCTCAAGCCTTTATTTCTCCCAGCCTTGAACTTGAGAGCTGGGCTGGAGTACAATGTGAGCATAAGATACCAAGCTGCACCCAAATTCTGGCACAGAGACATGGTTATTGAAACACGTTTATGTGCCTGATTTTTTTTTTTTTTTGCCTTAGGATGATTTTTTTTTTTTTAAACTAGGACACTCCTCAGTCCCTCATTCAGATATATTCTTGGCAGACATTTTTCTTGTAGACAAGCCCTAACTGAGCTTCAAAGCATGCACTGCCTGGGCTCAGCCAAGAACCCTAGGTTCATTGCCCTTTGTGTATCCTTTTTACAGCATGAAATAGGAGTTAGAACATGTAATGATAACTAACACAGACAGTCTGGCTCTACACAGGTGGAGTCTGCAAAAGGGACAGATGACTCAGATCAAATGCCTACTTCTCCTGTCCCAATATCCCAGCACCATGTAAGAACTCCAGAACCATGATCCAGTTCCAGGGAAAATAGGGGCAGATCTTGAATTGATAGAGATGAAATTTGTTTCTGATGGAGTGAGAGACTTAAGTAAAAGTTAATATGAGTTATAGAAAAACATAGTTAGGGATAAGGGAGGTTCTGATTGTATGTTGACATGAACACAGTTCCCTTTCCCGTCACCCACTGCTCTGGGCTCTCTGACTTTCAGGAGCCTGATGGCTGCTGGCTTCCATGGGAAGCTGGGTAGAACTGAAGTCTCAGTCTCTGGGGTTCCAGGGGACGGAAACTAGTCTGGTGCTTCCTCCTTTATGGGATGAGCAGTAGCAGCTTCAGGGGATGTTGGGAAATGCCGGGAGGTCAGAGATCTGTAAATCTCCAGAGAGAAGATAATGTTGGCTCAGATCTTCTTACCCTCACAAAGCCAAGAAAAAGCTGTGCAGGAAGCCTGGGTCTCCCTGGTCCTCAGGCTGTGGGAGGACCTGGGGACCTGAGAGCAGGGTAGGGACTTCCTTCAAGACAGGCAGCAGGGACTGGCAGCCTCTTCTTTAAGTCACAGGTCCCTATATATAGACATAGCTTCATCTTCCACGGTCTGTGAGACTCCAGGCATTTAGCGTCTGAGCTCCAATGAGTTGACATAGAAAAATGACCCATACAATAGCTGAGAGGAGAGCAGTCATCAGGACAGACACACCTCTGATGGAGCACTGCGGACAGAGATGATGACATCTTGAATTGACATTCAAGATCAGTATAAAAAACTCTTCCTGGAATTGAAAACACAGCTTCCGAAATAAAAAATTCAGGAGAAGGATTTAAGGAGAGGATAGTCTTTAGTGAAAGCTGAATCAGTGGTTCTGAAAAACAAGTGCTAAGAAATATCTCAAAGCATAAAGCAAAGCAAGGTGAACCACAGAATGAAAAGAAGTCAGTCCCAACTGACTTAACATGTATGGAATCTCAAAGGGAGAAGAAAGAACAAATGGAGGCAAGGCACTAATTAAAAATAATCAGAATAAAAATTTCCCTACTTTAGGACCTAAGTCTGATAAAATTCCTCAATGCAAAGGATGTGAGGGAAAAAAACCTCACAAGTTTCCAAGCACTTATGAATGAATTATCTACCAAAAAAAAAAAAATCAGGTGTCTTATTTGTAACAATGGAAGCTAGAAACAAGAATGACTAGTAACTGTTGATCACTCTCATAATAGGATTACAACCAAGGAACTCAGTACCTGGACAAGACAGGATTCACCGCTCAGCATGAAAGGAAGATTAGTTGAAGATACACAAGAAAGAGTTTACTATGTATGTACTTCATCAGGGACAAATCTATAAGAAAAGATTTTAACCAAACAAGACACAGACCAATAGAAATCTCAAGATGGAAAAAGATGATGAGAGAAGCAGAACTGGAGGGTGGGAGAGAAAGAACGTGGAAAGAGGAAGAAAGTGAAAGTACTCGAAAAGATGTATCGGAAAGGAAAAGAGGAAATATAGAATCCTGTAAGGAAAATCGTATCTTGCTCTCACATACCATATCTGATGTACCATCACCAGTCCAGTAATAGTCTGCCTATGAGAACAAGAGAAGGGAAGAGAACCTTTTATGAAAAAAAATTAAAAAACAGTAGAACATACAAATAAACAAGAGGAATGAATAAAACTTGATCTGATAGGCCAGCATAAAGAAAGTAAAGGGGGGATAACATGGTTTGATAAATAAGCGAAAAATAATACGGAAAGAATAAAGTGGTGCATAGCAGGCATCACATAAAATGTGACTGGACTCAAATTCGCTTTTTTAAACAAGTTTGTTAGATTTAGTTTCTTAAAAAAAGAGCAGATTTTTGCTCTTTGCAAAATACATACTTAAAATACAGTAATAAAAGAGATTTGAAAATAAAAGAACCATAGAAACCAAAACCACACCAAATGAAGCAATGGAAATGCACAGAGAGACATCAAGAGAGGCAATATTAACAGCAGACAAAGTGGAATGGAAGGTTAAAAGCACTAAACAGGATAAGGACAGACGTTATTGATCAGATACACTATTTTTAGCAAAATAAGAAACTACACAAATAAAACTTTTAGGACTACAAGGGACATTTTATTTTTATTGAAGAAATGAAAGAACATGACAACAATGCAATTGTACTGAGTTTTTCAGTATATCTCCCAGAACTGGAATAATTTAATAGACCACCCCCCCAAAAAAAGCCATGGAGAGGACATAGAGGAAATGAATAATGCAATTTATAAACTTGATTTACTATATTAATATAGAACAGTTTCTGTCTTGAATAGGATATATATAAACATGTTTCTGTAGAACTTTTATAAAAATGAATCGTGTTCTCAACCAAAAGGAAAACCATAATAAATTCAAAGTAGAGAGCTTACAGGTTATAGTCTCTCATCACAGTCCTATAACGTTAATTGGAAACTAGAAAATATGCAATGAGTTAAGTCTGGCATGAAAGAAAAAATTAAAGAAGTGTTTCAGTCCCTCTGGTCTGTTACTACAAAATATCCCAGATTGGGTGGCTTATAAACAGCAGAAATTTATTTCTCACAGTTCTGGAAGCTGAAGGTTTAATATCAAGAGGAACTTCTGGTGGGGGTTCTCTTCCTGGTTCATAGCAGATGTGTTTTCTCACTGTGTCCTCACATGGTAGAAGGGGCTCAGGGGTCCTCTGGAACACCTTTTATAAAAGCACTAATCTCCACTCATGAGGGATCCACCCTCAGAACTTAAGCATCTTCCAAAGGCTCCACCTCTTAACATTGTCATCTTTGGGGGTTAGGATTTCAACATATGAATTTAGGAAGGGATACAGATATTCAGACTATAAAAAAGACAATATGAAAATGCCTAGAAGCAATGGAAAACCACACACTTTATACGACAACAATGGGGAACGCAAAACTGAACTCAGAGGAAAATGTGTTGCCCTTGACTATGGAAGCAGAAAGGTTAAAAATAAAGGAATTAAGTACTTATCTTAATGAATCCAAGTCAGAACATCAACAAAAACAAAACAAAAGAAAGTTTGAAGAAAGAATTAATACTGTTAAAAGCTGAAATTATTAAAATGGATAAAATAGCAGAAAAGAAAAATAAATTCAAACATTGATTCTTCCAAAAGACTGATGAAATAGGTAAACACCATGTGTGTCTGATAAGGAAAAGAGAGCACAATAAAAAATACACAAATTAATAATGTGAAAGCAGGGGTGAACTTAGAAGAATTCCAAGTAAATTGTAACTGTGATTCTAGAATAGTATTAAAAAAAATAAAACCTAGAAGAAATGAACACTTTCCTAGGAAAATATACATTATCATAAAAGAGACAAGTAAAAACTTGAAGAGACCAATTATTGTAGAAGAGATTTGAAAAGTGATAAATGATCTCCTGTTGAAAACGGCAGCAGGCAGATGGATTCACAGCTGAATTTTTAATCTGACCATTAAGGAATAGATAATTCCAATATTATTTAAACTATTGTGGGTCTTGGGTTGAAAGTTCTCCAGTTAATTTTTTGGAGCCAGAATGCCTCCAATACCAAAGCCAAAGCAGGAAAGCAACAACAACGAATAAAAGTGCATCTATGACTATAAATACCAAATGTTTAAATAATATATTAGAGAATATAGCAGAGGAATGAATCGAATGAGTAATACACTATGACCAAACAGGCTTTATCTGAGGAATGAAAGGCAGTTCAATTCCAGGAAGCCTATCTACATATTGATTACATTAAAAGTTAACGGGAAAACACTCCAGCCATTATCAATAGGTGGTGAAAAGACATCAGATAAAGGTCAAGCAACCAATTCCAAGGGAAACGTGAAGCAAAATAGGAACAGAAGGAAGTTACTTATATATTAAAGAAAAGCACACTAATAAACACTCTCTTAAATGGCAGAAAATAAAACTTTCATTAACATCAGACATCAGAGAGGCATCACTGTAACCACTCGTACTGGTGATTCTAGCAAATGTAAGTAAAATAACTGGCACAGATAATGGAAAAGGAGATAAAGTTCCTGGTGCTGATAATATGACTGATTTTTTAGGAAACCCAAAAGACTTTCAAGAAAAAACAATTAGTAAGAGAATTTGATGTGTTGAATACAGAATAAATTATACAGTAACCAATCCCTCTCTATTTAGGCAAAAGCACTTAAAAAAGTAAATGGGAAGGATATTTCATTCAAAAGACAAGTGCTAGAAAATAATTTGGTTTAAACTTAGTAAGAAAGGTGCCAACATGTATGAACAAAACTATAAAAATATTCTTGGGAAATGAAAGACAAAATATAAACAAATGGAAAATCTTGGATGGAATGATTTATTGTTACAAATATGCCAATTCTCCAGAAATTAATACATAAGTTTAATGCTGCTCTAATTAGACTCTTCTTTTCTCACATAAAATACCATATGATAATTGCATTAAATAATTGAAAAAAGCCTTAAGTTCCAAGTATCTATATATAACAGTAGTTGTGAATGAGTGTAATCTTCAACCTAAGGTTTCTGAAGAATTTTCAGAATGATCAAAACAATACTGAAAAAGGCTCTAAACGATTTAATAATTACATTTCTATACAATAAATGTGGAATTATGTATCATAGGTTTTGAATGCCAGTGTCCTATTTCCTTCTCAATAATTGATGGGGTTAAGGGGTACATCTGATACTGGATGTTTTGTGAGCGCCTCCACCTTGTTCTTGCTCTGAAGTACTGGTCAGACTTGGCTGTGCATTAGAATCACCTATGGTGCTCCATCAGAATACAGATGCCAGGGTCTTACCTAAGCATTACTACAATCAGAACCTATAGCAGAAGTGTAGAAATCCCTGGCCAAGTCCCTGCTGCAATGATCACTTCTTGTTTCTGGTTTCTTGTCTGAGCACCGAAACCTGACAGTTACCCAATGTTCCACTGAAACATCCCATAGAAGCGGGTACTCCGTGTTTCCATTCAGAGAACTATCATTTAAATCCTCTTTGTAAGAAATGATTCATTTCCTTTTAAAATTGCGAGTTAAAAATAGATTTAAAAAAACAAATAGAAAATAGATTTGCAATATGCAAGTTCCTTTCTGTGTAACAGGAGGGAGCAAAAGAGGCATGTCAAGTATTGACTTGAGTTTAAAACCTGGCTTTGCTTCTTTCTAGCTGTGTTACCTTTGACAAATTAACTGTTAAGTATCTTCATCTAAGAAAATGAAGATAAAAATAGTACTTCACATGAAGATAGTATTTACCTTAAAAATACTAATGATTTAAGAAGTGTTAGGTAAAAGCAAATGAACAGAAATAACACTATTAAATACTCTCCTCAGTAAGAGTAACTTGCATGGTTAATGTCACCATACACCTTAGTGTGGGGCCAACACACAGTAGTACTTACTATTCTTGAATCAAGGTTCAACATGGTTTGGCTCACACTGTAGTTTTATCAAAAGTACTAAGTGTTTTTTTCCCTCTAACTTTCTTCTTATCAATATCATTTAAAATGTGATATCATTTGAATGTCCCCAAGTGATGCTAGTTTGTGAATGCAGATGAATTCACCTTAATATCACTGGGTAAATAAGTTTTAACAATCATCTTAAGTTTAACAATCATTTCCTCCACCCAGGCTCCATCATTTAGGACAGGAAATCTTCGGTTGTGTCTCCCAGAGACTCAGGAACAACTCCACTTGTGTTCTACTGCCTTGTTCTCCTTGTTCAAGTTACCTTGACCCTCTATTGGGCACCAGTGTTCTTTATGAGAATATGCCTTCTCTGGGCAGAGCCCTTCCTTACTCCGTGACGAGGCGCACGGAGGTCTGTGGCAGACTGGGTGAGAGAAGGACCCTCTCTCCAGCTCAGAGCTGTACTTTGTCATCAAAGCCCAAAGTAATACTTCTTAAACCTGAAATCCTGTGGTCATTTGCGAAAATGAGTCCTCAGTTTCTGGCCCTAACTTCTTTCCCCAAGGGGCTCAAAACCTTTCAAAGACTCTGTGGGAGAGCAGGGAACGCAGACACTGCACCACTCCCTCGATTCCTTTTGACAGTTTCTCAAGGCTACTGGCACAAAATTTCCCTTCCTTTTTGACTCAGAAACACAGGCTCCAAGAATGTCAATGTATACAAATAGATGGCCAGCCTATCAGGTTTATAACTGATGCAGTTCTAAATCCCAGTTTGGTCTCAGGTGGACCACGGAAGACCTCAGCCTCCTTTCTTATATGCCTGTCAACTAGACAGAGAATTTGAATTCAAAAGGCATCTCATCTACTCCAATTCTGTCCCTTTATTGTCTCCTTTGAAAGTGAAATAACTGCGCATGGAGAGAAGAACCACACATTTCTGAGGCAGCGGCCATCCTGGCCGAGTCACAGCTCCCTGACTCCACTGGAGACCGAGTGCCCTGCTTCTCAGCAACACGGGGCTCTGGGGATTTCTGTTGTGCAGGGACTGAGGAACGAACATCCATAGTAAAAGTTAACATAGTAACAATGGTGCAACATAAGGTACACTTCAGTTTCACTCCTTACTTCTCGAAAGGCTTCCTTAGGGTGATGTGAACGTTGTTAATGCCCTGTTAACTTTTAAAAATTCTGGTAAGGGGTATAAGGCCCATCAGGCCCATTTAAAAACTCTTGCTCCTTCCTGGGACTGGAAGAATGAGTGTAAAGTGTAACAGAGTAGTAATTGTTTAGGTGACGTGTTAAGTGCTATGCAGTGTAAGTAATCATGTAAAAACAAAAAGATAATGAAGAATTCCTCCTCACCCTCGCGGGCCTGCGTTCGTGCACGTTGGAAATGGATGTTTCCAGGCTGGCTCTGGATGAAGTCCAACCTCTTCTCTCTGCTCTCTATTCCTAACCTCAGGTCCGCCTTAGATGCTGAAGTGTCCTCTTCTCCACTATGAAACCTAGTTTTCATAGAGCAAGGATAAACAAACTCACGTTCAAGTGCCAGTCATGGATGTGGTAAGACCTAGCCTGTGTTTCCCAGAGGCACTGAAGTGGAAAGGCACTCGTCAAAATCTCCAGATTGCAATGCTTCCTCTGCCACTCAGTCTATGACATGTGAACCCAGCACAACAAACCCGTTGAGCCCAGTTTGTCTTTTTTAAAAAACAGCAACAACATTTCCATTTTCACAGGAGTTTTTCAAAGAATAAATGAAGGAATAGAACTGGAAACACTCTCAGTCCAGTGTATGGTCCACAGCAGGCACTCAGTTTATGTTAACAAAATCAGGTTAGTTCACTCAAAAGAGAACAAAACCTTAACCCAGAGAAAATGGCTTTTAACTGTGCAATTTTATACTGTTTGGGAGGCATTTGGAGGACCTTTTCTTGGGCTCCCTTAAATCTTATTTTATAGGTAGTTGCCAACTTTTTCTTTTTCTTTCGATAAGGAAAGCAATACACTTGTCTAGATCTCCATCATGGTCTGAAACGAACCTGTGTAAGCCTGGTTGTGACAGGCGCAGGGCCCACAAAAGTACTTTCACAGAAGTCTACGGGACGTCACGTGTGGGGCGGCTTTTTCCAGTTTTATAAAGTTCATTCCACGTGAGGACATGCTTCCCACCCCATTCCCAAGACACTAACCTGTAAAATAGCGAACAATGAACCCGAAATAGCCTTGAATTTCTGTAAGCATGCTTTACAGATCTGTATGTTAAAACCGTTTCCTAAACCTACATTTTCCAACTGCTGTGGTTCAACCTTTGAGGAGCAATAACTCTGTGATTCCCAACGGTCCCTCACCCGCCCGAATCTACAAAGCGCCTACAGGACGGGGGTCCCCCTTGATTTCATTTGCTAACTTTCAAGCTGGCCTTGGATAAATACCCTTCTTCCTTTGCTGCACAGAGATGCTTGGATAAAAGGTCTGAAGAGTCCCTTCAAGGACCCGCTCGGCTCGGTG